CCATTTGAAATAGTTTGGGGAAAAAAGTCATAAAGGACATTTGTTAATAAAATGGCAAAAATGGAATGAGAGATTAGTTTTGAGTCAATGTGTCAATTAAAATTTACTGAAGGAGATAACTGTACTGAGAGTATGTGAGAAAATGTTCTTTTTCTCAAGAAATTCACAAATATTCAAGGAAATGTATAAAATTCATGAAATATTTTTCTTAAACATCAAAATTCATGAAATATTTTTCTTAAACATCTGGAAATGAATGCAGACAAAAAAGGAAGATAGGGAAGGAGACAAACAAAGGAAACAGATTTTAAATAGTGGAGCAAGTGTTAATTGGTAAATCTAAACAAAGGGTATGTACCTGTTTACCATCCCTGCCACTTTTCCACATATTTCTCAAATCCTTTTTGCATGAGCCATTGATTATTGTTCTTAATGTTACCTCGCCTTTGAGATCTCTGCATTTGATACCCACCGCCCTATGCAGACCATGGATGTTTGCAATGCCAACTCTAAAACTGTTGTCTCAGGTTCTGTTCAGGCAAGAAACCTGGGATCAATTGTATATATGGGGCATGCAAGTATTTTAAGAGTTTTACAAAATTCCAGAAAAGGCTATTAAGAAATTTAATGTACATACTATATAAAAAACAAAAAATTCAACATATGAATCCTAATATCATATCTGGTGTCTCCAGAAAGGTGGTCATTCATTTCCTGAGATTGCATGGCTTGAATTGGTTGGCCAGCTCCACTAGCAATTATGACTCCGCGTGGGTTTCCATCTTGCAAAAATGTGTTGTCATCACTGTTGTATCCTCTCGTCATCAAGTGCTTAATCTTTTCAAATTTTTGTTTTAACAGTTTTATGAAGAAAGTTCACATACTATACATTTCATCCATCTAAAGTATATAATCCCATAACTTTTAGTATACTCACACACACACATACTATCACCACGGTCAATTCTAAATCATTTTCATTAAATGAAAGGAAACCCAGTAAACTATCATCCCTTTTTTTTTTTCATTCCCCACTGCAGTGCAACCCCTCATCTACTTGGTCTTTGGAGAGTTCCATGTTCTGGCCATTTCATCAGTACAATAATGTATGGTCACTTGTCACCGGCTTCTCTCACTGTGCATGTGTCTAGGGTCCATTCATACGCAGCCGAGATCAGTAGTTTCTATTGCCAAAGCATGTTACATTACTTATGGAACTAGAGCATATTTTACTTACCCATTCTTTGGTGGATAAATGTGTGTGTTGTTTCCATCTTTCAACTATTACAAGTAGTAGTGCTAGGAACATTTATTTACAAGCTTGTGTATGAAAACATGTTTTCATCTCTCTCGAGTATAGATCGAGAGGTGGAATCTCTGGGTCATAGCCTAAGTCCATGTTTAACTTTTTGAGGTGCTTCCAAGTAGTTTCTCAGAACAGCTGTACCATTTTTCTTTCCCACCAGCAATGTGAGGGTTCCTACTTCTTCACCTTCTCTCTAGCACATTGTTTTCTTTTAGCCACCCTTGTGTATGATGTGCCATCTCACAGTGGTTTTGATTTCACCTCCCTGTTGAATGATTTTGAATATCCTTTTATCTAATCTTTTAATGGAATTTTGGAAAGGAGAGGAGAATACCAAGAGGTTGATCTACTGTGTTTTACTGAAAATACAATGATTCATTTTTAAAAAGTAATTGGAAAGCCATGTTTTCCTAAATATTTGAAGACATGCACTATCTTTAACAACATGTACAGTTACTACTTCTTAAATTTTCCATAATACAGTAACAACAGTCTTGTGTAAATATTCTCAGTAAGATGACTTTATATGTAGTGTTGAGGGAAAGATTCAAATGAGTCCTCAGTTGACTCAAAGAGCACAAGTGTGTGTCAGCTCTTCTAAGGCTCATTCTTTCATCACCAGTGCTCCCTCTTTGTGGAATAGGTTCATTTCACAATTTACAAATATCAAAGAAATGGTAGAACATTTAGACTGACCGAGAGCACATGTATAAGAGTTGAATTGCAAGACATTTATGTGGACATCTATACTTTAAACATAGTGTAAAATATGAACTGTATCATACCTGCCAGTTCATAATTGTGAAGTTGTTCCAGGTATACTTATGAAGTTAGGTTTTTCCGTGTGATCTTGTATATGTTTAAACACTTGATTGGAAACTTGTAAAAAGTAAAGATAACAAATGCCACATAAGGAGAAGAAAGGGGCAAAGAGTACCTGTCAAGGACTCCATCTAGAGTCTGTTCTGAATAAGGCAATTTCAGAAGCATAATTCCTTTATTATGGGTTGAGAAACTATGTAACAGGAAGAAGAGGGGAATAGGAATTTGTTTTGGGATGCCTCTGATAAAAAGGTAGCTGGAAACCATCTCATGATATGAAAACGGTATTCCAACATTTCATTTGAGCAAAGGGGATAAAGGTGAGGAAAGTAAGATTTGAGTAGCACCAGAGAGAATGCACTAGAAAGACAGTAACTTATTTCTGTTTGCTTTGTTCCCATCTTAGTAAGCATGAAATAATTGTGGAATGATTCTTTTTAATTTCTTTCTAAGTACTAATGGAGATGAATGTATCATGGTATCAAAAGACCCAATTGTGAGATTTACTACAGTAGTAGTAGGTCATTTTCAGGAAAGCATTTCTGGAAAAGGCAGAATGATGAGGGTTTTTGTCAGACAGAAAGCATTAAGAGAGATTGGATAGGACCCATTATAGTGGATCTCTTTAAATATGTGCTACCAAATTTGGTAGGCTAAATCTAACTTGGAGGAGGAAGTAAGGTCAACAGCTTGGTGGGTAGATATTATAAAATAAACTGAAGTTGAAAATTTAACAAGGGGTTATATGTCCTGAAGAACCCAAGAATAAGGTCAAAATGTAAAATTGTCAGAATCTTTAATGAGAAATGTTCTTAGTAGTAAGTTATAAAGAGTGGCAGTCATGGGTCTAGAATCAAATTAAAGGACTCTAATATGATACGATGAAACAACTGGGAGTCTGGGTTATTAACTGGCCTATTCACATGAATGTTTGAAAAGCTCACTGCCTCAGTACTTCATATTCTCTGCCCAGGTAACTTCAGGGTCTCCTGGTCACCAGTTATGTCTTAAGTCCAGTGCATAGTCTTGAAGTACCACTAGCTAATGAAAATCAAAATTCTTTCTCTCACCATAAACTTCAGACATTATCATTATAATCAGTCTTATATCACTGATCAAGTGGAAGCAGTATTAAATTAAGAAGCTGAAGTGGATAGGTTTTTGTTTTGCTACTGTTGTATGTTTGTTGAAAACACTACCACAAGGCTTTCTGGAAAAACAACCTCAAGTACCTTCTAGGAAATCCATACTACTTTTGAATACCAGTCTGTAAAATACAATAGATTTTCCAACATACCCCTCTTATAAGAGTATGTGTGCACCAATGGCCATAGAGCACTGTCTTGGGGACATTGGAGAGTGCCCAAATATCTGTTTCTCTGGTACAGTCTGAAGCTGTACCTGACTCAGACCAGCAAGTATGGTGGGACACATAGATAAGATGTACCATGACTCCCCCAAGGCAATGTGCATTGAGGTTGCTACCTCCATCCTAGTAGGTGAGCTATACAAACTAACAGTGGGATCATGTATATTGCCAGCAAATGTGGATAGAAAGAAGGCACAAAGATGCCTGCCCCATGAGGATGCCTGCCTGATGACGTCCCTGCAGATACTGCATTAATACTGAGAGAACCCATAAACTCTGCTCCCAAAAGGCATCAGGATGATGCACAATACTGGGCTCAGCCTCAGAGAGGTGGTGCCTGGGTCAGACTATTGGGGAGCATGATAGGATCACGACATGATGACCATGGGGTATATTGGGGCATAAAACTGTTTCACCAGCAGAGTCTGGCTTACCCTCTGTTTCTTACTCCCCGCTTAATTTAAAGCATCTTTTTTGACTTTCAGTTTTAGTTTACCATGGGAGGGAGGGCTCCCTGGTCAATATTCACATAACTGACAGTTATGTGATGCTTTCTTGCACTCGGCAGAAATGTTATTACTCCTGGCAGCTTGAAGAAATACCGGGGGAGAGAACCAATTCTTCAGGATGTCCTTTCCCATAGCAGTTCTTTTCTTTCCAGTGGCAGGTTCAACTATATTGAACATGAGCCACTTGACTGATTCTTACACAACATCTATGCTGTTTCTAGACCCTGCCCCAGCAAGTTCATCATGATGAACCCTGAGATCTAGCTCCTCAGGATCCTCTGTAGAAACACCCACCTCCAAACACCCCCATTTTCAGGATTCACCCAACACCTGTGAGGACCTCTGGTCACTGGCTCTAAAACAGAATGAAGCCATTGTTTCCAACTTCCTGTTACTTCATTTAAAAATAACCCTGTCCTTGACTCTTTGTATCTAGAAGACCTGTCTTCCATAATTCTCTAGAGGCCAGAGAGCATAAAATGGAGAAGAAGGTGTGGGCTGGCATAGTAATAATTTCCCTCAAGACTAAACCATGAGGCAGGAGACAGTTGTCCTCAAACATCAAGGAAGAAAAATTTGGGGCCAAAGACACATAATTTTTATTTCTCAGCAAAAGTTCCAAGGGAGTGGGCATTGTTTGGAAACCAAAGGAGACAATTTGTAAGACAGAACTAACCCCATTCTTTCAGCACAACCCTGAGTTACCCAAACCCCATATCCAAGAAACATAAAAGTTTACTATTACATAAACATTAGGGATAAACAATTTTGTAAAGCACGGAAGGAATTATTTAGGGGTGCAAAATTTTTTTCCCTGGAAATGCTGGAGAAGCATTTTCTGATTAATAAGTTCAGACAGCTTTCTGAACACAGTGCCTTCAACATTAATGAGAGAAGTTGGAGAACCCTGGCCAGATTGGGGCCTGCAGTTGGGATTTAGGTGTGGTACACATACCACATAGGGTATGGATAGGGGATTCTTCTCACACAATACCTGATCCCTGAATGACACAGCTTTATGTGGTCAGCCATCATTCGCTCTGATCTAATACCTATAGGAAGAGTCTGGCCAGCAATGACAGCTCCCTGGCAGCAGGACATGGATTGTGTCAATTTACACCTGTGACCCCTGTGGTTAAAATGATGTCGGTGAATAGGCACTGCCCAGGTCTGCACTGGCAAATGAAGGGCTTCATGATATCCAAGGCTCTCCTGGAATTTTCCAGTGTCTATCCTGAATTTATGAGGTCCTGTCACCCCAATAAAGGGAACTCTACTTTTAAGCAGACCTCTGCTGGGCAAGGATGATAGGGGGCTGCCCTTCTCCTGGGAATTTTCTTGCCACTTTCCTGTCATCCCAGGATGAATCCATTGCAAAAAGTGCTTCATTTTCTTTCTGAAAAAGTTTTCAGGAGGAGGTTGTCCCTTTTGAGAGAGGGTTTGGGGGATCTTGCTACATTGTACCTCCTCCAGTGCTATGTTCTGAGTAGGAAGGCTTTGACTTTGATGTGGGGATGACCCAGGACTAGCATCCCCTCCACCAATCTCATCTCTGTTGGGGCCCACAAGACTCTCTTTCTTGGCAGCTGCTGGGGAATTTTGATCCTGGCACATGAAAACATTCTCAAAGACCTGCCGCTTCCCCATGTTGATCCCAGGGTCCACGAGGTGGGCTTGCATCACCTTCGAAGCCCCTATGTCCCCACTGGAGATGTTCTGGGCATGAGTCAGTGAAGACTTTAGGGTCAAGTTATCTGAAGAAAGAGGTATGTCACTGGGCTGAACTGGGACAGTTCTGGGATCCACACTCCCCCGTATAAATTTTAACTTATTAAAAAGCTTTTTTTTTAGGTCTGATGATTTAGGATGTTGGGTACCTGCTACTTGTGGGGGCCTTTTAGTAGTCACAGTAGTTTCCACTAGACTCTCATTCATAGTGGCTGTTTGAGAGTGCCCTGGCTCGTTGGTTACCAAAATGTCACTGGATTTTGACTCAGGAGCATCAAGTTCCTCAGCCCTGAATATCTCCCTGGACATATGGGCTTTGGAAAGCATTTCTAAGTTCTTGCGCCTCTCTTTGCCCTGCAGCATTTCTGTTCTGTTGCTGAAACTCATCCTCTCAGCCTTGGGGTCCCGTGTAGCCACAGCCTGCCCCGCAGGCAGCATAGGGCGGGCACACCTCAGGCCTGGGGGACACGGAACCTGACTTGATTTGCCTGGGAGGCTGCGTTTGACAGGCACAAGACTGGGTCTACCACACACGCTTTTCTGAACACTCTCTGCAAGTCCATGGTTGATAGCAGAGGGTGGGTGTCTTAGAATCCCTTTTCTTTCTCTGCCTACATGTGAGGTAGCAGAGACAGGATGCTCTCGCACAGGACCTACATTGCTCAGCCCCTGATTCCTGTCAAATTTTGATTTTCCTCTGATGGACTTAAAGCCCCCAGATTTGGAGTCGTCCTGAATAGTCACCTTGGTTGAGGAGGGATCTTCAGAAAGGGAAGCATTGTCTCTCCATTTAAAGATCTCTATGGATTCGACGACTTTGGAGGGAAGGCCCCATAGCATCCTCAGGCGAAACCTCTTAATATGGGTTTCCAGTAGCTGCTGTGCACTGGAGTGCATGAAGGAGAGCTGCCGGGAGGTATTGAGGGAGTAGTCCTGGGCCACCGATGAAGACAAACTGTCCTGCCCTACTGGACTATGGGGTTCCTCAGAATACTGCAGCATCTGCTCGTCAATGTGCAGTGAACTTCGCACAGTGTTAGGGAGCCGACCCTCATTAATTTCCTCAAACTTCTTGCTCAAATGTACTTTCAGGACATTTTCCAGCTCGTTCTGATGTAGAGTCCCCTCTGAGGCCCTTGAGTCTTTGCCTGACAAACTCACCCCATGACCGTTTTGGTTGTTCTCAGAGTCGTCCCCCAGATGCTCTTCTGAAGAGTTCAAAGGATCATCTTTTGAGCCTTTTTGTGCAATATGTCCCTGATGCTTCCCTACATCTTTCTCTAATTGAAAGGATCCTGACCTCTTACTCTCATGGTAGCTTCCAGAATGACTCAGTCCAAAACTGAGAGTTTTGCTACTCTGACCCTTAAGCACAGTGGTCCTAGAAGGAGTCTGAGTGCTCTCCAATTCAGATGTCTGTGACAGGCCTTCTGGAGGCATCAATAATGACATCGAATGAACAATCCTATGAGGTAGGCCCCAACGGTGTTGGATAAGCCTCTTTCGAAGGTGATATTCTAGTTTACCCCGAATTTCATCACTAAGAGAAAACTCTCCAGGAAGAATGGAGATTGATTCATGGACATGAGTAGCCCGGTGCTGAGGAGAAATGGGAGGTGAAGAACAAAAGTCTTTGTGAGAACATTGGACAAGAGCAGGTAAACCCCACATGTTTTCTTGTTGCTTCTGCAACAGGTGCCATTCCAGGCGGTCAATATCAGAAGAGTTGAGAGAATCTGGTTCATTCTGGGGTCTATGGAAAAACACTCCACAGATCCTAATCTGTTGTGAAGGACCAGATGTTTGGGCTGTGATTGGGAATGACAAGTGGGCTTGTGGCTGAACCTCAGGCATGGGCGGGGATTGTGGCAGAGATTTAGACAATGTTGGGGCCTGGGATTCAGACAAGCCAAGAGAGGGGACCTGTACAGGCACTGAGGATTCCTGACATGTGGAGGCATTGGGGACCCTATTGAAAATGAAAACAGAGGGAGAGTCACCCGAGACATGGATAGCAGAGGGCAAGGACTCGCTGTGCAGAGATGGGAGACCCCAGAAGAGCTGGATGCGCTTTTTCTGTAAATGGTCCTCCAGATATTTAAGATGTGAGGTCTGTTCATACATCTGTAGCTCCTGAGGTTTACCTTTGCTGCTCCAAAAAGGAAGGGTGACTACTGCATCATCCTTATCAACAGTTGACACTAACATTTCCCCTGAAGTTTTTAGTTGGTACCCTGGCCTAAGAGGTTTTGGAAGAGAATACCTTTTCTTTTCCTTTTCTTTCCACATCAGGAAATTGCTTCGCCTTTGTACTTGTTTCTCCAGGAGTGCCAAAACATCAGGACTGAGAAAGGAAAGGTTACCAGGCTCTATAAAATGAGCAGCAGGGTCTCCCGCAAATGCGGTCTCTGAAGAGTGAAGGGTAAGAAACTCTTGATTGGAATCACGTGACATGGTGGAAGGTAACCAGTCTGTGGCCTGAGCCTGCCACCAGTAGTATTCTGTAATTGACAAGCTTCTGTGCTCAATGCCTCTGATTGTTGAAACAGAAATTCCTGGTGGGCTATTTGAAGGTGAGGTCTCCGGGACAGACTTGAATAGGATGGAAATTGCTTTAGATTGAGTCACAGTTAATGTGCCACCTCCTGATTGTGAAACAGACACTGTTGGTGGTCCATGATGACAAGCATATGAGTCATCAGGAGTCATTGGTCGTGGCATATTTGGTAAGGTATTGATACCTTGAGAAAGGGTGGGATCAATTGAGAAGATGTTGTTTAGAGCTAAAGGGGTCTCTGGTTGGAGCAAAGCATCTACTCTCTGAGTGTCATATTGGGGTATATGAGTAAATGCAAGGTGTCCAGGTGAAGAATGGCCTGCTGGGAATTCAGGGCCCAGTGAACAGAAAGGCTCTGGCGAGAGACTATAACCCATTGGTTTTGCAAAAAAGTCATCTAAAGGGGTCAGTGGATTAGGTGAGGGAACAGAGAGAGGTGGTGGGGAAGGTAGAAGCTGAGAGACTGGCATTTGGTCTCCAGGAGGAGCTTCTGGGAAGCGAGTGGACCTTGTGAATGACGACTCAGTCATGGGAGCTGTGGAGGCCCAAGAAGAGTGGGGAGGAGTAGCATCTTCCAGGGCATCTGGGAACAGCAGGTGGTTGATCTCAGCAGTTGCTCTATTACACACATCACAGAAGGGGTCTGGACACAATAGCTGGCGAAAGCGGGTGGTATCATGTTGCTGACCCAGGGGGCTGCAGGAGACAGGAGTTGTTCAAAGCTGCAGCCAGGACCAGAACCATGAAAGGATGACCCCATTGCCTGGCAGGTATGGAACCACCTAACATCTCTCCTTCACTTACCCCACTCTCTCACTTCTTGATGTGCACCATGCCCTGACCCATGGTCTTCATTCCCATACTTGTTTCTAGGCAACCCTCCCAGGACTAAGACCGGCCACACTAAATCCCTGGAATGGCCGAGGTCATGCTACAGAGAGATCGGGGGAGGGCGAGTCACCTTTTCACAATAGCAATCAGCCTCTGTGTCTCTTCTGTTTCACTCTGGTAATAGCTCCAACCTGGGAAACCAGGAGAAAGGGTTATATGTGAGGAAAACAGAAGCCCAGTAGGTCTTATGCAGGAATCCCTTCAAGGGTGGTCTTGGGATGTCTGACACTGAAATACTCAAAAATCAGTAGAGGAAGTGTGTGTTGCTTTTTCATTTACAAAAGACTTTGATATACATGATCTCATGTGATGTCAAAACCACCCTGTAAAGAATGTTAAGGCAGTGGTTACTTCTAAGAGGAATCAAGATTATCCCTGATGTCACAGTACTTTTAGCAAGTCAAGCACAGAAGGTCTGACTCTCGAGACCAAGCCTTATGGCCCTATCAGGCCACAGCCATAAGCCAGGTCCATTACTTCATCATATCCCGGGGATGGCAGATGGGGGTACACCTGAGAAGTAGCTTCTAGAGACTATAACATAAGCAGACTTCACAGATTTGGGACTTCCTGAAATGTAGAGAAAAGATCACCCTTGGAGAGCTCAGATGTCATAGGCAGAACCTTACCTGTCAGAATAGACAGAACCTTACCTGTTCCACCTTTCCTTCTCCTCTTGGCTCTATTCTGAGAACAAAAAAAAAGAATAATACTCAGTTCTAGCTCTTCTTTAGAGATAACTGAGACATAGTTACCCAAGAACCAGAAGATTCTGTTTTCATTAATCAAACTTTGTATTCCTTTTTTGATTGACTTTTTAAAAGTGATAAAATGATTTCCGTTTTTCCTTGGAAAAACACAAGCTTTTGTCTATGGGGTGCACGTTGCTGCTCTGGGTCATCAGCCCATAGTGGCATGTGCTCCCTCGGATAGGATCCTTCATCTTGGATCCTGTATCAGGCTGCAGCCTCTGCTCAGGGACACTGCTCTCCTGATCAACTCAAACTTTAGAAAGATTTGCTTGAGCTACCCCAACATGGAATGTGACTCCAGATCAAGTGTTGGAACCTGTGTTGTCCTGCAGAGATCCCAGACACGAAATGTCCTGACCTGGGAATGCAGAAACTCAGTGCTTACTTCTACCTCACCAGATGGCCTGGGAGCATCCCGTGAGCACTGGTCCTACCTAGTCTATCCCTAAGAACAGGATGTCATGTCCTCAGGTCAGACTTCCATCTTAGGTGTTTCCCAGAACCAAGCAAACTTACTTTAAATTGCTGGAACTGAAATGGAAAGGGTAGTATGTAATCTCTGTTGGAGACATTCCCAGAACCCTTACCTTTCTGCTGTCCTTGGTTTTCCAGCAATTGAACAAAGATGGAATCATCACCAAGTAGCATAGAAACAGAAGGACCAACCAAACCCCACACTGGTAAATGAGGTCAGGGTCAATATTCAGGGATTCTGAGCGAAAGCTCAGACAGGACTCAGTATGGCACTTCAGAAATGAGAAAACATTCCAATTTCTGATTTCCATGATCTGAATCACACGCTTCCCTGAGGCAACTGAGCCTCGAGAATGCTAGCACTGGGCTTTATCCCATGCCGACATCACAGAGCTCTGAAGCGTCACAATGGCTACCCGGGCGAAGGGGAGGGGTACACAGAATGTGCCATGGCCCCTCCCCCAGCCTCCAGTCCAGCAGGTTCCCCTACCCTCCACAGCCCTCTAGGTTTCTCTACCCTAAACAGAAACTGCAGAGGCAGTTTTCTGCCTTTGCCCCTCCCCCATCATATATTTGCTTCAAGAGAATATGCTTCTTCCATCTGTAATCCAGATAGTGCCTGAGTTCTCTGTACAGTTTGAAAACCCTGACTTGAGTCTCACCAGTTCACTGCTTGAAAGTCTGCAATACTGCTAAGAAGTTTGCAGACATTGACACTCAGTATCCTTTGTCCTCAAATCCTATTTTCCATGGAATGTTTTTATGTTAATTCAAGTGCTGATAAAGACAGTTCTTTTACACTGACTTTATTATGAATGTTGATTGTTAATTCCAGTTTTGTGTTTCTGTTAGTTTTCTGCATCTTTATTCAGCTGTGCCGGTACAGTTGAAGTAACAGTTCATCATTCAACTCATGAAAGCTAAATATGTGCAAAATAAATGTGAATAATTCACTTTAAATGTTCTAGGGCATGTACATAATACTTTTTTCTTTTGTTTTTGAAAGATTTATTTTTATTTATTTATGCTTTTAAGAATGTAGCTCTTATGTATAGGGGTGGAGTATTCACCAGAGTCAGGGTAGGGAACAGGACAGGCGGCTTGATTGAAATACATTGCTGAGGGGAGCTGGTAGTGAGAGAGGAGAAGTCTACAGGGTCTTTTAGGTTAGCTTCCTGGCCGGGGTTCAAATTCGGCCACAATGGCTGTAGATAGCCTGATGATACCAAGATTTAACCCCTGTGCTGCCAGGGAGGCCCCTTATAACACTTATTTTTCTAAATTTAGCAAAGCTTAAACTGTACAAAAACTTTTTTTAAAAAGATTTAATTTTTTATTCATACAGAATTGGGGTACAGGCCATAGATGCAGGGGCAGTGAAAAGATTCACCAGAGACAGAATGGGGAGCAAAACAGATAGACTGAATGAAATAGAGTGCTGAGAGGAGCAGCAGGTGGGCCGGGAGATGTCTGCCACACCATGTGGGTCAGCTCCCTGGCAGGGAATCGAACTTGTGCTGCAGTGTCTGTGGACAGCTTCACAGTGCTGTGCTTTAACTCATTGTACCACCAGGGAGTGCCCTGTACAAAAACTTTTTTTTTTTTTTTAAGATTT